CTATAGGAGCACACGTAAAACACAAAGGACTCGTGCCCTATTTTTTAATGACCAGCACAGCTCGTGCAGCACGAGCCGAAGGCAGGCAGGCGACGACGCCGCACGAGGGGCGGTCGGAACGGCCGCACAGGCGGCCTCGACCGTAGTCGCCGCTGCCGCACCAGTCGGGCGTGCGCCGTCAGCTGAAGCAGCCACGCGAGCCACCAGCCAGCCCGTGCCGAGCCCAAAAGGGCCCAGACAACCGAAGGCGCTCCCCACGCACAGCCAGGCTCTCCCCCGCATTGGGGCCCAGCCCTGACTTTGAAACCACTCACACAAAGGTGCGTTGCCGCAACACGGTCGGGGACACGGCTGGCGGCTCGCCCGCGGCAGCAGGGGGGCCGACCCGTGTGCCGCCGCGGCATGGCACGGGCACCTTGATCGGGTCGTGCCTGGCACGGCTCCGTGGCGGGCCCCTGTGGATCGGGTAACAGTGCGGGGCGGCGACCACCACCCCCCCCGAGACAACCATGGCCGCTGCCGCACAGCGTCGGCGAAGACCCGGCAACCAACGAAAACTCGGAGGCCGAAGACAATACTGCGCGAGGCGCTGCCACCTGATGACACATGCGCGTCTGCCACCCTCGGTGAAGCCGATGCCTAGGTCTCGCACCGCTTTGACCCCAATCGACCCCGTGGTGAAGCCCAGGTGCTCCAGGAGCGCGGCGCTGGGGCCCTTGCAGCTTGCCTGGAACCTCGACCTCGTCACTGCAATGGTCGGGTGCACTTCCGCGAGCCTCTTGACCACTACCTTGGTTGCCATGGTGAGGTCCTTGGCCACTAGCTTGAGCCCAAGCCAACGCAGCAGCACCGCGACAACCTCGACCACCGCTGGAACCACGGACGGGCAAGCGGCTCTTAACCCGCCCAGCGGAGAAAGGAGCATGACCTTCATGAAGATGGAGGTGAAGGCGTCTCCCGCCACCAACGACTGCGTGATCAGTATCTCGCCTGAGCCGCACACCTCCAAGCAAGCGACCCTGGGGAGGCGGTAGAGCGAAAACTGTAGCTTGGCCAGCCAGTCGCAGAGGGCAGCCCATACACGCTTCCAAGCACATCCCCAGGCCGAAGACGCCTCGGTGGCGTCGGCCTCGCCGCCCTCCGCCAGGCCAATCGCGGCGCACGGAGCATCCACGGCCAGCCCAGCCTCGCACACCGCGCCGTCGGAAAAGTCAGCGGGGTAGCAGAAGGCCAGCTTCGTGACAGACGCTGGCCAGTCGCACTTCATCTTGAAGGCCAGCCGCGAGTCGTCGCGCGCCCCGATGCCAGCGTGGACCATCACACCCAGCTCGCGAGGCCGTAGCGCGTAGCACGAAGAGCCGCCCGAGTCCCTGAAGGAGGCGAACACGGCCCTGATCGCGCTCGCCGAACGCCTGGCAGGGCTCCCACCCCGATCGGCTAGCCAGTCGAGCGGCGCGCCCGTGGGTTCGTAGTCCAGCGGCCCCCTAGCATGGCACTCGGCATCCCAGCCAGCGAAACCACCCTTGGTCTTGCCAGCGACCTGCTGCACGAACCTGCCGGCGATGGTGCCACCTGCAGCTGCAGCTGGGGCTCGCCCATGAATCCTGACGCCTGCGCCAGGCCCGGCGAAGTGAAGTGTGCCTGCGCCGTCTCCCGCCCGGCGTCGGCCCGAAAATCGGACTGGCCGCTTCACTGGCGACCGAGCGCCTTCAGCGCACTTTGCCTCATCAGCACGAGGTCGGTCTGCGCAGCGTCCACGACAGCCATGGTCACCCGCTTGTTCCTGCCACCCTCGGGAACCTGGGAGCCGAGGGCTTGACCACCTCAGCCTCAGCCCGCCCCAGGCGCCGCTCGCGCCCAACATCTCCCTGATAGGCGTGCTTGAGACCGATGGCGCCCAGCACATACCACTCGGCCCATTGGAAGAAGGCCTTCCACATGCAATCCTCCGCTGCCGCCGCCAAGCGGGCCCGCGATTGCGCCCGCTAGTGCGCACGGACCTCCATACAGCACGCACGAGGGGGCGGGGAGGACCAGCAAGTGCCTGTTGGTCGAGCTAGCGAGACGCTTGAGCTCGACGGGGTAATGCGATGGCAGCTCCCACTCCTGCAGACCCTCCGCGTGCGCCTCACGCCCGTGCGAAAAGCGCACGCAATCGCAATGAGCACGACGAAACGCCTCAACTTTGCTACGAGGAGGCACGCAGCGCGTGAGCTTCGTCGTGCCCCAAGTGCCATGCTCGAACGTGGCCATCCCCATGCCGCGCTCCGCGGAGAGCCAGGTGCCCTCGGCGGCGTGCACCTCCCAATCAGCACCCTTGCTGTACTTGAAATCCTTGCCGCTCTGACCCCACTGGTTGCTCGGCGGCGCCGATGCCCACTCGCCACTAGCGGGGGGCTGACTAAGCTGCCAAGGTAGCCAAGGCTGCCCTGCCCCGCCTGGCGGCCGAGGCCGCACGCCGCCACGCCCAGGCGTCATGCGCATCGCGCGGTCGCCCACCAGGCACTCACCACACACGCACTGCCGCTGAGCCGCCATGGTCGAGACAAACTCAGGGCCATAAGTGCCGCTGCTCACCGACGCGGCGCCGCCCACGAAGTCCAGGTCGAAAGCGGAGACGCCCTCGCCAACCTTCATGTAGACGTAAGCCCATTCACTGCCCACAAATGGGCCTGCCACATGCGCGTCCGCCGCGCGACCAGACGTGGGCACCGTCAGTTGCCCAGCCTGAACCCGCCAAGGCCAGACGACCTCGGCGCCCACTGCAGGACAATTCCGCGGCCAGCCTGCCCATTCGAGAGTTCGGTGACTGGCGCGGCATCCGCGCGCCAGCCCACCCCAGCCAACTTGAATGAAACTACGCTGCCGAGCTCCTCAGACAGGTGTGCCTCTTGAGCGAAAGCGAGGCCACACCTACGAATCCCGTAGAATCCGAGGAGGCCCTCGAACCTGCTGTCCGCATTCGCGCCGATGGTGAGGGCCGACCACCAGCACCCGCGAACACGGCTAACCTAGGGTCCGCGGCTTCTTCGCGTCCCGCAGCGCGTCGAGGGCGTCGCGGATCCGCTTGCGCCGCTCGTCATCGTCGCCACAGCCACCAAGGAGCCCGCCAGGGTCCTCCTCGCCCAGGAAGTCTTCGAACCCCACTGCATCCCCCGCTGCTGCAGGGGCTGCTGCTGCTGCTGGCGCTGCTGCGGCCGCGCCGCCGCCTGGCTGCCCCGCCGGCTGCCCCGCGGCGGGCTCGGCAGGCTCGGCGGCGCCGGCAGACGCGGCAGCCCCGACGCGCGGGCGAGCTGCCTTCGCTTCCTCGGCGAGCTCGCTGACCACGTTCGAAAGCTGCTGGGGGGGGTCCTGGCCCGAGACGCCGTCGGTGTTGAGCGCGCCGAGCTTCTGCTTGATGGCCTCGGGGCCGATGCCGCCTCCGTAGAGCGCTGCAGCTTCGCGCTTAGCCTCTGCCAGCTCCTGCTCCAGCTGCGAGATGGTCTCCTGCGTTCTTTGTACCTGCACCAGAGCCTTGCGAGCAGCCCCCGAGCCTCGCTGAAGCCGAGCTTGGGCATCCGCAAGCTGACGGGCCAGCCCATCCACCTTCTGCGGAGCTGACTTGCCCACCAGGCCGAGAGCATGAGCACGACGCGCTGCCTCAAATTTGCTGCGAGACGACTGGCCGAGGGTGAGCTTAGCCGCATCCCAGGCACCCTGCGCGAAAGCCGCCCAGATCTTGATCTGCTCCGCGGTGAGCGTGGTACCCGTGGTGGCGCCCTTCTCCCAGCCTGTGCCCTTGCTGCCCTTGAACACCTTGCCGTTCTGGCCCCACTGGTTGCTCGGCGGCGCCGTTGCACACTTGCCGCAGGGGGCTGACGAAGCCGCCAAGGCTGTCCTGCTCCGCGCAGACGAGGCCGCCGTCCGCCACAACCAGGCTTCGTGCACCTCGTGCGGTCGGCCGCCAGGCACTCTCCACACACGCACTGCCACTGAGCCGCCATGGCCGAGACAAACTCGCGGTTATAAGTGCCAAAACGAGGAGAGCCCGCGGGCGAGCCGTCGGGGAGCTGGATCTGGGAACGAAGAGAATTGGCTCAAAGCGCGATCCCTCGCGCTCAAGCCGCCCTTTCGGACTCGCGGTCGTCGGGAGTCGCATTGCCTTGCGCCAAAGTGGCTACGGAGGGAGACTCGTGCCCCGGGGGAGGCCCAATCTATAGGAACAGATGTAAAACATTTAGGATTGCATACACAGGAGAAGAACATACGTATAACATCAAGGACTATGTACTGCCATGCTGACCGTGCGCAACGCACGGCCCGCTCCACCCTCCAGCTCCCGACGTCCGCCGTCAGCAGCAGGAGGAAGCCCTCGACCACGAACGCGAGGCCGAGGACGCCGAGGGCGAGCGCCGCGCCGCCCACGCAAAGGGCGGGGCTCGCCGCCGCCCGCGAGCCCGCGGGCCGCCGAGCGCTTTGGGCGCGGCGGCCGCCGCAGCCGTGCGCCCCACCGCCTAAGGGTAGGGCGGAGCGGGGCCTAGACCCCCGAAGGGCGGCTCCCCCGCAAGCGCGAGGACCTAGTGCGGGAGCACCTGGTCCAGCATGCGCTGCAGCTCCTCCCGCATGGCCTCCGAGGGCGGAGGCTGCGCTTGGAGCAGGATGACGTCGGCGGCCGCCCCCACGCCCTGCCACGCCTCGCAGGAGTGCTGCAGGACGGCGAGCCCGGCAGCGGGCTGCGCGCGGCGCACCACCTCCGGGGGGGCCGCCGCCGCCGCCGCCGCCGCCGCGCCCAGGCCGGCCGGGGGGAGCGCCAGAGGCGCCGCCGCCGCCTCGACGGGCGGGCAGAAGCCCGCGCCCGCCGCCGCCGCACCCGGGGCCGCCGCCACCGGTTGAGCGCGCCGCCTGCCCCGCCTCCTCCGCGGGCCACGCGGGCCGCGAGGTGGCAGGCCGTCGGCCCACTCGTCGTCCAGGGACTCGCCCATCGCGTCGTCGTCGCCAACGCTGTCGGCCCCGAGGGGGACGCCAGCGGGTCCGCCGCCGTGAAGAGCACCTCCACGAACACCATGCCCAGGAACGCCAGCCGCACCCGCCGCACCCGCGGCAGGAGCCGCGGCCCCAAGGGGGCAGCAGCCGCAGCGCGCCGCGCCGCCAGCCGCGCCCGCCGCCTGCGGCGCCGCTCCTTCTTCTTGTCGTTGGGCTCCGGAGCCGCTGCTGCCGCAGGCGCGGGCCGCGCCGCGGCGCCTGCCGCGAAGGCAGCCGCCGACACCACGGAGCGCGCCACCGCTGCTAAAGTGCGCCTCGGAGCCCCCGCATCCATGGCCCCACGGACCGCCGCGCGCACCAGCAGCGCGAGGTCCTCGACCGGGCAAGCCCCTCTAGGCGCCGCCATCGGACCAGACCCCCCTGCCGAACGGCGGATCCCCGAGGCGACGGCCGTGCGACCGCTTGAGCCAAAATGGATTGAGCCAAAATGGCTTGAGCCAAATGGCTTGAGCCAAAATGGCTACGGAGGATTCGTGCTCCAGGTGAGGCCCAATCTATAGGAGCATACGTAAAACACATTGGATTGGAGCCACTCCTGTTGCCTTCTGAGGTCTCCTGCTCCTGGGGCCTCTCGGGGCCTCCTGTTGCGTGGGCCTCCTGGCGCTTCCTGTGGCCTCCTGGGGCCTCCTGTGGCTTCCTGAGGCCTCCTGGAGCTTCCTGGGGCCTCCTGGAGCCTCTTGGGACATCATGTGGCCTCTTGAATCTTCCTGTAGCCTCCTGATGCCTCCTGGGACCTCGTGTGGCCTCCTGGGGCCTCCTGAAGCCTGCTGGAGCCTCCTGTGGCATCCTGGGGAGAATATGTGCCCATGAGTCTGGCCACCAAAACAGGCAAACCGAACGAGACATCCTCAAAATCTGGCCCCCCTGGGAGGCGAAAATGAGCGCCTCGCTCGAGACATCCATACCCCTGGCGGCCCCCCCTTAGGAGGCGCCTCGCACGAGACATCCTCAAAATCTGCTCCGAAAACGGAGGATGTTGGGAACCAAAACAGGCAATACCCCTGGCGGCCCCCCCTTTGGAGTGCTAAAACCAGCAAACCGCTCGAGACATCCTCATCATCTGCTCATCGTCATCACCATCATCATCATCATCATCATCATCAGCAGCAGCAGCAGCAGCAGCATCATCATCACCATACTCATCCATCATTCACCATCACCATCATACTCACATCATACTCTCACCACACCATGATCATCATCATGGAATGGGTGGTCCGGCGCGGTCGGAGAATAACAAGAACCCCATCCTTTGGATATGGGGAAATATGTTGTAAAGTTTTCCTCTTCGACATTTGCGACTCAGTACGCGAATATTGTCAACAGCACACAGATACATTGCATATGTAAACTGTGATCTCACCTAACCAATCAGGATAGAACAGCCGGCACCGAGTCGACCGAATACCGCACCCTGCAAAAGAAACATCACGCACTACATCTGGCCAACTCCGCACAAACCTGAGAAGAAGAACAAACTGCATAATCATAAACTTTTGGCGCTCCGCGCGGATTTCTTGGATCTGCGCTGGACCCCCCTCCCTGGCGCGCGGAGCGCGCCAGGGGCGGTGCCGGAGGCGCCGCCGGGGTGAGCCCAGCGCGGATCCAAGGAATCCGCGCGGAGCGCTCAAGATTGATGTTTATGGAGTTTTTGTCCACCTTTGAAAATTAGAGGTGGGGTCCGAGTAGATGGGGTCGGAGAGTTGCACCGCATCGCCGATGAATCGGCGATGCATCGGTGATGCATCAGCGACGTCGGCGATGCATCGGCGACATCGGTGTGGGGAAGCACGGGCTCCACATCGATCCGCATCGTCGATGCATCGGCGATGCGGCGCGATCCTCCGACCCCATCTGCTCCAACCCCATCTTGGAGGCCTCGAAAAATTGCAACTCGATCGTATCGAAGACGCACTGACACAGGTCATCGCAAACCCGGGTCAGTCAAGCCTTGCAGGACCCTGCAGGCTCCTGCAAGATCCTGCAGGACCTCGCACGCTAGCCCGGGTCAATGCAGCCCTTCTTCTGCAGGATCCTGCAAGATCCGGCGCCCTGGCTGACCTCCGTTTGCTGCACGGTTTCTCCCGGGGCCACAGGCGACCTGAGGAGGAGGAGGAGGAGGAGGAGGAGGAGGAGGAGGAGGAGGGGGAGGGAGGAGATGGAGGAGGAGGAGAGAGGAGGAGGAGGAGGAGGAGGAGGGGAGAGGAGGAGGAAGGAGAAGGGGAGGAGGAGGAGGAGGAGGAGGAGGGAGGAGGACGAGGAGGAGGAGGACGAGGAGGGACGAGGAGGAGGAGGAGAGGGAAACAAAAAAAATGGAGGAGGAGGAGGAGGGGGAGGAGGAGGGGAGGAGGAGGAGGAGGGGGAGGGGGAGGGGGAGGGGGAGGAGGAGGAGAAGGAGGAGGAGGAGGAGGAGGAGGAGGAGCAGGAGGAGGCGGAAGACGGATCGCCTAAGCCCTTCGGAGAAACCCTCCACCGACGACCCCCCGACGAGGAGGACGGGTCGCCCAAGCCTTTCGGAGAACCCCGACGCATTTCCGCTGGCCCCCCGCAAGGCTCCCGCTGGCGGCGGCGCCCCTCGCTCTGCTCACGGCGGCCTCCGCCCAAAAAGGCCGGTCGTGCTCCGAAGGCGCGAGGCGCGCGAGGCCCCTCCTCTGCTGCGTGTCTGTGCGCGGCGGCCCCCTCCGCCTCCCTCCGTCCCTGCACCTCCTCGGCCCCCCGCCTCCCGCGGCCTCCTCCTCCCTCCGCCTCTCACCCTCCCCGTCCTGCCTCCTCCCCACTCCACAGCCTCGTGCCCCCACCTCCTCCTCCTTCCTCCCCTCCGCATCCTTCCTGCTCCTCCCCTCGACCTCCTTCCTCTGGCTCCGAGGCGGAGTGGCGCGAGGGGTGGACGCGGATCAGCTGGGTGAGGGCGGCCGCGCGAGGGCTGAGAATACCATCACAACATAGCCGTGTCCGCGTGCAGACGACTGCGCAACACCGTGGCCACTCGTCGTCAACATGTGCTGCTGCTGGGGAAACCGAGAGGTACCCATACCGCTACTCACCTGACCTCTCCTGGGGTTCGTTCGGACCAGCATTTCGAGGCGAATCCAGCCGTGGCGACGAGGGCCTCCCAGGAGGCCCGAAAATAGGAGGCGAGGGAAGTGTAGCGAGATCGGCAACTCGTTCAATTCTCGGCCCATGATCCCCTCTCCTCCAACAGCCAGCTGGCGCAGGCCACCTCGTCCGCCACCGCAAGCCGCGTGAGATTCCTCTGCGCCGATGGCCCGGCAAGGAGGAGAGCAGGCGATAGCGGGCGTGAGCCAGGGAAGACCACCTGCACTGCTGCTGCTAGCGTGCGGCCGCTCCTCTGTTCCCCCATACGCCTCCCCCTCCTCCCTCCTTCTCCTGCCGATGCTCTCTTCCCCCTCGTCGGCCTTCCGCTGGCGCGAGGCCCCTCAGAAATCGCGGGAATTACCAGGTAGGTAAAGTATTAGATATGATGATATGATCACCATCCTGATCAGAGCTGTAGGTAATATTCATCGTCCTCGGCGCCGCTGATCAACGCAATTGTCGGTACCGTCGTCGTCGTCATTACGCTCACGATCAACATCAAGAACCAACCCCCCCATTCTCACAAGGGAGCGGGATGCCGACGTGGGGACCAGCGGGCAACGGATGCTGAGACATCTTCTCCACAATGACACCGAAGGACGTATGTCTGTATGTGCGTATGTGCGCATGGCAATCTGGCGCTACATGATTTCACGGCATGAAGAGTCTGACACATTGTAGCGTTCGCTTGAGGCGAAACGGTCAACGGTGTCGCCGAAATGACGGTGCATGCATTTCAAAGGTTGGTTGACGCTTACGTTTGATCTGACGAAAGCACGTAGAGCAGCTTCTTGGTAGCGAAGCCGTCTCCGATGCGGACATCTCGCCTGTAATAAGCAACGCCCCTTTAGAGGTATGTTATTCTCGTGCTTCTCGAGGGAGAGTAAATCCTTAAACGCTAACTCTCGGATCTCCGCGCGGATCTCTTGGATCGGCGCTGGGCCCCCTCCCTGGAGCGCGGAGAGGGCCAGGGCGCCGCCGGAGGCGCCGCCAGGGGACGTTTGTACTCTTGTAGAGCCCCCCTCCCTCACAGGGCGGCACCTCATGCGCTCCACGCCAAGCCGGACGTGTGAGGCGACCGTTTCGCCATTATGGACAGGCGAACGCTACAATGTGTCAGACTCCTCATGCCGTGAAATCATGTACAGTCGGGGCGTCGACCTAAGGAACCCTAAATAAGGAACGAGGCTCCTTTTTTCCATAAGTTAAGCTGCGACTCCCCATCGAAAACATAAGGAAAACCTGAGGCAAGCCGTGAGACAATCCAGGAACACGGAGCCCCTCCCCAACGAAAAGGGTTCCTTCTTCAGCGACCCGACTGTGGCGCCAGACTGCCATGCGCGCATACAGACGTACGGCACCTCATGCGCTCCACGCCAAGCCGGACGTGCGAGACTCAAGGGGCCCCAGGACACCCAAATGAATACACACAAATAAAATGATTCCCCATATTTTCCCATATTTTCTGGGCTTCTGTCTTCCCGTCCAATTCCCATACTTTCCCATATTTCCTTGGGGAAGCGACGATGCATTGTGTCTGCGTGTGTCTTCCCCTCCTGCGAGGACGAGGACTCGCAGGCGGGCTGCCACGCCGCGCCTGGGCTGCCCGTGCCGCCAGAGGCCGGCGGCGCAGCACCGGCCTCGAGGCAGAGGGCCCCCCCCCCCTCCTCCTCTCCTACTCCTCTCCTCCTCCTCCTCCTCTCCCTCCTCCTCCTCCTCCTCCTCTCCTCCTCCTCCTCCTCCTCCTCCTCCTCCTCCTCCTCCTCTCCTCCCTCCTCCTCCTCCTCCTCCTCCTCCTCCTCCTCCTCCTCCTCCTCCTCCTCCTCCTCCTCCTCCTCCTCCGCCTCCTCCCTTCGAGCCGACACGCTGCCCTCAAGCCGCGGGGGCGATCGCTTGACTGCATTTCCCTATTTTGGGGGGGTATTTCTTTGACGATCTGTTTCATTTTTCGTCCAAGATCCCCCCGTAGGAAAACCTGACCCCTCCCTCGATGCCGAGTCCCGCCCTTCGAGCCGACACGCTGCCCTCAAGCCGCGGGGGCGATCGCTTGACTACGTTTCCCTATTTTGGGGGGGTATTTCTTTGACGATCTGTTTAATTTTTCGTCCAAGATCCCCCTGTAGGAGGACCTGACCCCTCACCAGGGACCGGCCTCGCGTCCGGAGTATTCGCTGGGCGGTCCTGGGGCCGGCGGAGGGCCGACACGCTACCCTCAAG